ATAATAATAATAATAATATGTATATGTATATATAATATGATGACTGAACAGATATACATGTATACACATAGATATAATACATTAATATTGATATAATGTAGATATGTGTCATCAACTTGTTTGGTTTATACAGTTTACAGCCTCAAGGATCGTGCTCTTCAGGTTATCCGGCGTCTGGTACGACCAGAAGACTACAGGAGGTTGGAAATAGCGCGGTGTCTCCACGAGGAGCTGGAAGATCCGCCCAGTGTGTTGAAAGATCTCCTCCGCATGAACCAGCGAGTAGAGCAGCATCTTCTGGAGAGGATCCAAGGCCAGGAGGAATGAAGAGGAAAAACTGGATGGATAACGGTCACGTATGGACAGCAATATTATATTCCACACTATTAGAAAGCAAAGAATTGAGTTAGTAATCAGGTGGGTGAGCAAGTGTTGCAAAGCCTTAGTTTCTTACATTTCCTGCAAACAAGACTCCGTTTGACCTGCTGCCTGTTTTACTCACTCACTGGCAAATGTCTTCTTCAACAGAAAAAAAGAGGTGATTTCTTTAATGTGATGAGATTGATCACAGTGAGAGATCTGAATATAGTTTATATTCTCATGGGAACCTTAGATATGGTTATCTTTACTAATCCAGTATACTGCACATCTCTCAAAAACATTTTACTTTGTTTTCTGTTGTTGTTGTTGTTGTTGTTAAGCGGTTTAACCAAGACTGAATTGTTCAGCAATCATCAGCAAGCTTTTGCTTTGGCACTTTAAATCTTGATTGTGTTGCCCTATTCTGGAAAATGTTTTCAGAATATACCTGCCACCATAAATGTGCAGAATCGCCTCTAAAACTTTGTCTTGCAGGTGATTTCCAATAGTGAAAACTTAATAATTAACCCTGTCTTGACAGTTTTAAAGTTGAGTCTATGAAACACTGTGACTGAGGAGCATATGCCTTTTGTCTTTGCCTACTTTGTAATTCTTTTTCTTTTTTTCTTCTGTCATCCTGTTTTAAATTCATACATTGTGACTGTATCTCAAAGACTTTCAATGTTTATTTGTGTAAAAAAATAAATAAAAGATATATTTCTTACTGAAAGGTGAGTAGCACTGTTATTTTAGTTAATAGCCTGGTCTCTAAAACAGCAATTGATTTTGAACTATTCAATTATGAACAATTATGAACAATTATGAACATGAGATCACAAAACCAAAAGCAATAAAACATGAAATTAAGACCTTTCTCAGAGCACGCAGGGGTAATTACAAAGTGAAAAGCTATTGTAGTGATGGATAACTGCAATATTACTTTTATTATAGATCTTGTCTAATGATGGAACCTCTCGCTTCAGGTACAAAAAAAGTAAACACCCAACAGTATCCACACACCACACACAAGGTACTATTAATTTCAATTTTTTTCAATTTTATGTGTTTTTATGTGTGAAGGAGTTTATTTGATATATGGGACTCCTGATTTATGATTTAGGAATATTCAGTTCTTTCAAGCGCAATGAGTTGCATTTAATTAAATTCCAACACTCAGATAATGATCATATATAGATTGTTTGACTGTATGAGGAGTATTAGTATCTTTATTATCTTTGCTAAGCTTCCTTTTTTACATTTTTCTCATATGGACTAAAGTGTCTGAAATAAAGTTAATCAATTAACAACATAACAGAGCAGCATTTAACATTTTTAAAGCAGCGTCATTACTTGTAATTATGCCGTGTGGACAACGTTTCCTCTGTAATATATCAAACCTTGTACAAGCTGAATACCTTCACGTAATTACCACTTGTTCAAACCCGACTGTATAAGCTCACAGACAAACACAAAGATGTCCAGTCCAAGCGACTGTCATGATCTGAAATTATAACCAGCTCCGGTTTACCACAGCAGGGGTAGTGTTGTCAAACACGTTGCTAAGCAATAAAGTAACACAACCTATCTCTGTGTGTGAGTCGAGGTGAGTCGGGTGCAGTAATATCTGGAAACATGCAGGCAGCAGAAAAGAAGAAAACATGGGACTCGAGTCGTTTCAGGCGAGAGCAGTGAGTACTTTGTCCCTGTCATGAGCTTTCTCTGTGTCTCACACACACGTACAGTATTTGTTTTGCAGCTGGGATCCAGTGCTGAAGTGGCTTTGTTGGGCTGAAGGAATATAGACAGGAACTAATATTCATGATCCTTCGATTTTCTTCACCAGCATGACATTTTGGTCAAGGAGTCACCCAGTCATGTTTCCACATCTGCAGACAGACCACTGGAGCAAAATGAAAACACTGGTGAGATTAAATTAGACAAACCCACTTATACTAAACACATAAACTAACTAACTCTTGACTGATTGATAACAAACACGTGAACTACTTTGTATACTTGTGATGTGTTTTTACCACCTAGGTCCCAGTTTATCTCGCATCAGTTCCAGCTGCTTTATTAAAGGACACAGGTTTGTGAAAAAGACCCCATTTAACAGACACAGTACAGAGAGAGCAAAATTACTCTTATGTAACAAAGGAAAATGTGTCTCTAATTTGGCTTTATTACATCTACGTCTGTAGTGTGTGTGTCACATGAAGGTGCTAGTCTGAACTGTACCACCACCAGCCTGTTACCTCCTCTGACTCAGGATGAAACTGCAGTGAGTGATCTGGCCCCCTTCATGGCGCGAGGACACAGTAGGGCCCACATTAACAGGAGTTAATATCTGTATTTATTTGCCTTCCTTCTGTTTCACTATTATATTTATTTTTTCTTCTTTAGGCAGACATCAAAACACACCAAAAACCTCCCCTAAAAACATGCCCCAGTACAGGAATGTGTTCAATGACCGTGCCAGGAGGGACTTCTGCTACTGGCTCGTGGAAAGGAAGGGCTCAACATGTAAGTACTGATTAATGCCCCGAGTGCAGCAAAATACCACCTATACAATAAGTATCAGCTTGGTGGGACATTCACACACGCCTGTGGTTGGGAGGAGTGAGATCCATAACTCTCTCATCTCTTTCATCGCTCATCCTGCTGTTCAGTTATGAAGCTTATATTTAAAGAAGCCTCCAACAACAGTCTCTCCAACAACTTTGATGCATTGTTGTGATCAGTAGGTCACACATTTGGATTGTATCATTATTTGTCCATCACAGACTTAATCTGTACTCATATCATTTTAATAATAACTTGTTTGGTGTATTATAAAATATTATAAAATGTGGATTAAGGATCAGGATGGAAATCTGCTGCACCCGTATATCTGAACAGATAATCAGCACCTTCTGTATTTCATTAAATTAATGTAATTACTTCTAAATGTCTATCGCAAGCAGCATTTTAACTATGTGTTTTGTATTGTAGAATTATGTCACATTACATTATGCTGGGGTTTAAACAATGGTCAGGAGACTGATGCGTCTTCGTTCCTTCCTTACAGGTAAAGGATACAGCTTTGGTGCCTACAAGACCTCTCTGGGATTACCAAAAGTCTAACAAAAAGTGTTACTGTCTGATATTTCTTTTAGCCCTCTGTCCAAATCTGTTTAAAGAAACATGATTTAGGGGATAAAATGTTTAATCTTCTATGACCTTTAGAGTGTTTCACACCCTGAATCTGTCAAGACAATTGGAAGTGCTGTTAATTTTAAGTATTAAACTTTGGAATCAAAAAATCATATTGACTGCAATGATGGATAATATGTGTAAAATATTGTATCTACCAACAGTATGCTGAATTAAAAAAACAAACATTTTGAGGGGAGTTGTTAGATACACTATCTGACCCTCTGAGCAAAAGGGAAATGTTCTTTGCATTGTTTTTGTCATAGAGAATTATGACCAATGTTTTAAGTTAATTTGAAGATATAGTGAAGAAATACTGAAACAAGTACTGAGTTTTTTTTAGTGTAGTATCACTGTTCACCATTAAATACAAGTAACGTGTCCCACCTTTCACCACATTTAAAAGCAGTCTTATAATCTTATATTCTCTTCTTCTAAATATGTTAATCGTTTTTATCCTGTCTTCATTTTAATAAAATCTTCCTTTGACGTTTATCTCTTGTTCTTTATGATCATTGCCTCTCTGTTTCTCTCTTTGTTCTTATGCATATATAAATCCTGGTAGTAAGGCACTCTTCATCGACTCCTCGCCTGACGCTGACTGTCACTTGTTGGTGTCGATCCTTCTGCGCAGAAGTTTGAATAAATACACAAAGACAAATTTCTCTTTGTTTGGTTTTCCTTTATTCGGTCAAACTTCCACCACAGACAACAGGTTTTAAAACAGGAGTTGTGCTTACTGTTTGCTGTTATTCTTTCTAGTCTAGTGACTATATCCTACCTGTACCTGTATGCACCTTATATGACTACATTTCGCGGGGTTTGACCTTTAAATATACTGTCAATGGGTTTTGGCGCTCATGAGTCAAATCTCGTTGCATTGACTTCAATCGACCCGATCTATCGCGAGATGTCTAGAACTCGTCGCTTGGTAACGTTCAAACCACGCGGTCGAAAAGAGAACGTTACAACCGTCGTCCACCGTTAGCGGTTGATTCAAACACAAACTTTATCTTTCAGTCCGACATTAAACATGAGCCGTCTTCATACTTTGTCTCTGTTCAGACACACTGTGAGCAACAAGTCGTTTGAGCTGACGAGTAGACCTTGCCTGACTGAACCAACGCAGATAAAGTGACAACTTGTTTAGACACGTAACGTTACGCGGCCCCTACCGTTGCTACTGTGCCGAGCTGAGACGGTAACCTAACAACTCTTCCACATTAGCTGACTTACTAATGTACATTTAGCAACGTAGCTTACAAACCATATGAATTATCGGTGTACATGCATAATAAAAATGACAGTGGCTTTCAAACCTGTTTTTTCAAAGTGACCTCTTGAGTTTGAATTGAGTGTAAATGTTAAATGCTAGCTGAACGCTAGTGTTAATTGGCTAAAGTGAAGAGCTAATGTTGTAAATGTCCTCATTCATTGAGAAACTGTCCCCAATGGCTTTTACACCGACCAGACACTATTGTAGTCCAAATGCTTCAAATCAACATTAAGTTAGGTTTTACTTCTAATTAAAAAAAAAAAATCTCATTATCTAAAATTGACACATAACAAAAGCTGCATTATAGTGTTAATTTTTTTAGTTTTGAGTCATTAAAATATACATTTGAGCATTTAATTAACTTAATAATTAACCAACTTAACCTACATTATTCAGGGTTTTCCTGCAGTACTTTGTAATTGAGGTAGGCCGGATTAACCTGCTGCTTATTATTTATATGGATCCCAATGTGTTATTTGTCCTCCTGTGGTCTAACGTTACTATTCTTGGAATAATACCTGTCCTCAGGTTTACAGGTGCTCAACTCGGGTCAGGACAGGTAGAGTTTCTTAACCGGGTCCTCGGGGCAGAAACCTTTGTGGTCACTTCACCTGAAACAAAGACCACCTCTGTCTAATGATGCCTAATACAGCTCTATCAATACAGTAATGATAAAAACTTGATTTTAGTAGCACTTTTCTTAACATAGTTACAAAGTCGTTCAAAAGAGGTCATTAAAGACAGTAATAAAATTATACATTAAAAGTTAAAACCAGATCAGTGAGACTTAAGTAATTAAGTCAGTTAAAGTTTTAAAAGGTTTGTTTTTAGCTGAAAATACAGAAGTAGCAATAGTGAACAGTAATTAATTCCACAGTTTAGGTTTCATGAGCTCATATTTACTGTGACTTGTTCTCTGAGTTCATAACCTACTGGGAGAATTTACTTTTCCCTCAGCAAATACTGTATATTTAATGAGTGTTGCCACTGTTCATGTCTTCATATACTAATTAAATCTCTCACCACTGAAAAATGCATTTTTTGACTTGGGTTTTCTTAACTGACGCCTTCATGTTTTCACCTTATTGCTCGCATGATGTACTTGATGGTCATACAGATCTGTTCTTTCCTTACCCAACTGTGTTTTGGATTAGGATCTCAGACATGGACAGCGGCAGAAAGAAGATATCGATGAAGTGGCGACGAACTGCGGTCACGTCACCCACACATCTGCAGGAGAGAAATGCTGGCTTGGGCACACCGACTCGCTTGAATATGTCACCAAATGAAGATTCAAACACTTTGCCCCTCAGTGACTCTCCAGGTCCTGATGGTCTTGGATCACTGAGTCTGGACACTCCCAAAAGAAAGGCAGCGGTGCTTGGTGAAAGCACGCCCTCTTTAGGCAAAGTTAAGCTGAGAAAGCTTTCCAAGAGAAATAAAGCTAATTTCCTAACTTCACAGGTAAATCTTTAATATAAATCTTTCTCTGCCTATCTTTTAATTGTACATCAGTTTGTATCTAAACCTGATCACACCTGAGTCTCAGATGTGCTATCATGCAATATTTTACTGATTTATTTGTCCTTTTGCACTGTAACTATCAGGAGAAACCTATGGACAACTCATCCAAGCAGCTGGGATCCACAGAGAGCCTGCAGGCGTCACCTCCTCTGTCTCACTCTTTTGTCTTGAAAAAGAACGAGAGGACACCTGAGGAGGGGTCAAAGGCCATCTACAAGAGGGCATTGATTGCAGCCATCGACAGCACAGCGAATACCCCCCCGACTCGCACCAACAGCCTGTCGTTGCCATTTGTATCTTCACCAGTGAAGACCGACGAGGCCAGCCCGGCGTCACTTGACAGAACGGTCGTGAGTATCAGCTGTTCCTCGAGCAAACCTGAGAACAAATCTGAGGGCGCCAGCACTGACGAGGATGATCAGTGGTCCCCCTTTCGGATATCTAGTGACACAGAAGCCCAAGGTGACCACTCAGAGCTAAAAACAGACAGAAGGGTAAGTCAGCTAACGCCTAGTAATTGGTGTTTGTATTTAATTTCAGATGTTTTAGTTAAATAAAATGTGTTCATTTTCTTGTCTGTGATTTAATTTGTGTTCGTCTAACACATTTTTAAAATTTTTTTCATTTTTTTCATTTAAAGCAACCATAATATTTGTACAGAAGCCAGAAAATGTATGTTCTTCAAATACTGGAACCATAATATCATCATCAAGCCATTGAGGATTAAAAGCTAAAGAGATATTTTTTCATTATTCATGTTTTTCAGAGTGTTGTCATTAAAGGAAGAGATTCACCTGAGAAGTTTGTTGCTCAGGACTCACAGGTGTTTATAGAGGCAACCTCCCAAGACAAGTTATTTGCTGCAGAAGATGAAGTGGAAGCTGAGGACTTTGGCTCTCCCCTCCCTGTCCTCGAGTATATCCCACATTCTTCGTCTTATTTTGGAACTCCTCAGAGAGGCAGCCGACAATGGCAAAGTCCTTCAGTGAACACCCAGGATGCTACAGCTTCCTCTCTCGCCTTCATGTCCACTAATAAAACCAGTGCGGCCATGCAGGCAGCCGCCGGGGACATGGCGATGCCTTTCTCACCATCACAAAGGAGCGTTTTTGTCTCATACAAGCAGCCCTATTCACCAAACATGGGCCCTTCAGAGGCACCCAGAGCTGAGAATGTTTGCTCCTCCAATATTATGGCCCATTTATTGGATCCCTTTGCTCTGCCACTACACTCCAACAGAGGAGTATTGAACCCTTGCTACAGCTCCACAACCACGCGCAGACACTCGGATACTGGCTCTTTTATGCATTACTCCCCCAGCTCCTTCACTCATGGTGGCGCTCGTGAAAGAAGATTATCCATGGGGGCAGAACGTGTGTGCAGCAGTTACCCCTACCTGGACAATCAGGTTGGTTTCATAGACACACACTGCCATCTAGACATGCTCTACGGAAAACTTGCCTTCGGTGGGACGTTCAGGAGCTTTCGAAGGCAGTTCCAAAGCAGCTTTCCTCCAGAGTTCAGAGGCTGCATCGCCAACTTCTGCAACCCCGCGATCATGGTGAAGGAGGCCCTGTGGGAAGGTTTACTGGCTGAAGACATGGTCTGGGGGGCATTTGGGTGCCACCCCCACTTTGCCAAAGACTACTCCAATGTCCATGAACGCAACATACTGATGGCCATGAGGCATCCAAAAGCTGTGGCCTTTGGTGAGATGGGCCTGGACTATTCCCACAAAAACTCCACTAACGCCTCCAAGCAAAAACAGGTACGCTCTACTTTGATAGATTTAGAGTTGAAATAAAGAGTTTATCTTAAACTAGATAATAATGAATGTTCTGGTCCGTGTTTTGTTTCTCTGCCTTTCCATGAAGGTGTTTGAGCGTCAGTTGCGTTTGGCTGTGGCCATGCAGAAGCCTCTGGTGATCCACTGCAGGGACGCAGATGATGACCTGCTGACAATCATGAGGAAGTGTGTCCCTAGGGAGTACAAAATTCACAGGTGTGTGTGTGTGTGTGGAGGCAGATCATCTAATTGTTGGTTACTAACTAGTTAAAAAAATGTATAATCCAAAATATATATCTATATGTATCTCTGTGCAGTAGTTTTCACTTTGTAGGACTTGAGGATTATAACTTTAAGGACATTTCGAAGTGTAAACTGTTACACATTTAATCTGTGCGTTTTCTTTGTGGATTACTTTTGTTGTTTCCAGGCACTGTTTCACAAACAGTTATCCGGTGATCGAACCGTTCCTGGCAGAGTTCCCCAACATGTATGTGGGCTTCACAGCCCTGATTACCTACCTCAGGGCCGTCGAGGCCCGAGAGGCTGTCCGCCAGATCCCTCTTAACCGCATTGTGTTGGAGACAGACGCACCATACTTCCTGCCCAGACAGGTACCAAAACACTGCTCTAATGTCAATAAGGATTGCCAGGTTGATTTTTTTCCCTCAGCCCTTAATAGTAAATGAGAAATTATGCATCATCATTTATGTCAGCTCAACACACAACTGCTCTTTTGCCTCAAGTTCATCATTCAGTCAAGAATTAAAATTATTTACTTGTTTTTAAGTAAAGTGACTTGATTTTGTGGAGGGATGAGGGTCTCCTCAAAAATGTTAAAGGGAGTATACTCTTGGATAAGTATGTATATGTATATATATTCAACTCCTGTTAATCACCTTGGACTGCATAGTATTGGATCACAGATTGCACAAACCGCTTAAATCATGTAAACAACTTGGAAATTAGAGTGGAAAGAGTTAATCAATTAGTCGATTGAGATGATTTATCAAACCATTTTCATAGTCAGCTAAGTAATTTTTATAGGAAGCTGCCAATAATTGATTGGTTCCAGTTTTTGTTGTTGTTGGGACAAAACATGATATTTTGATAATGAAAATAATTGTTAGTTGCAGCCCTAATTCCTACCAATTTGATTTTGTCATTTAATTTAATTTTTCATTTCAAATCTATGAATGTTACCAAACAATTATATTTTTGATGTTGCCTAAGGTGCTGCTAACTCACGAAGCTTCAGGCCACTAAGGTCTAAAACTGTTGGTAGGGATGTCAAACCTGCACAAACCCCTTTTTTCTCAGATGTGAGGTGACCTCCACATTATTGTACCGTTGACAACGCTGTTACACAAACAGGAGTACATTTTGAATACATACATATGATGAGCGTGTCTCACTCGTAACAGGTGAAGAAGGATGTCTGCCGGTTTTCACATCCTGGAATGGGCATCCACACTCTGCAGGAGCTGAGCCTGCTGAAGGGGGAAGACATGGCCACGGTCCTCACCACCATCCGAAACAACACCACTCAGCTCTACGGCATTTGATCTTCAGAAGTGATGGATAAAAACTAGCAAGCAACGAGCAAACAAAGTGTTTTTGAAGCTGGTTTGTGACACAAATATCTTATGTGTCTTTTTGTTTTAGAGTTATTAATCGTCCATGTGGGAATGTCGGAATATGGAGTCTCATTTTAATCAACCCGAACGACTCTTGAAAACAGTGACTGAAATGAAAATGTCTCTTGTCTAATCGAGTCACTGCATATCATTGTTTATCTAATTATATTTGAGCTAATTGTTCATCATAGAAATTAATTCCTGAGCAGTTTTGCTTTTAAGTTGTTTTTGCTGTGTTACCATAATTTGACATCCCTTGCCTTGTTCTAATTTGTCTGGATGTTTGTGTTGTCTGTTTGGTTTGATACACATTAAAAGCCTTTAACCCTGCTTTTTTATTGTATTGATTAATGCACATAGGTGTAAGATGGAAGAGCGTAAAGTAAAGTAAAGTATGTCTGTAATACAGCGATGCAAACGTGGTGTTTGCCGCGAGTAAATCTTATTTTGTATTGAAGAAAGGAAGTGGCTGTGAGACGAGTCCATTAGCTTGCTTTAATACCGCCATGTTCGGCATGCGCATTTGGCTTGAGTGCATTTTATTTTGAGAATGAGCCTGACCTACTTTTTGTAGTGGTTAGAGTATGCCATCCGAGGGTTTGATTAATGGTAGATGTGTCTCTTGTATATCGGGTTTGACAAAAGGGATGTGTTAAAACATACATTCACCCTTTTCCGGGTTCTTAGTGAAAACGTGGCACAGGGGCACATCATGTTCACGGCTGTACATCCGTGCTCATTAAAGGCAGCAAGCAGTACGTGCTTTGCTGTGTTTGACCTAGTTCTTGAGATCTGAACAGGAAGTTGCATAACCTTGTTATAGGACTTTGATGTTCGCCCCTTGAATAAAACACGTAGAGGTAGAGACCCTAAAAAAACCTTTGGAGCAGAAGCAGCAGACTTCAGGACTGTATCTACTAACTACTGTAGTTGTATTTAATGTCCATTTTCTGTTTTGGTTCTTTGGTCAAATGAAAACTTAAAAGAGACGTATGTCAGAAAATAAAAGCCTGGAAACCATTTTCAATTACATATTCTAATTAAAGGGAGGAACACATCATTTTCATTTCATTGTCCTCCATTTCACCCAGAATCTTGACCTTGAGTTTCTTTAAGTTGAATACCTTCCAAAGATGAGACAGAGAGGCAAAAGGTTAATTGATGCTTTATTTTTAAGAGCACATGTTGGTCTCTGATGACAAAGAAGGGTCATGTGATGACTGCTGAACCACTGATGAAGACTGGGATTTGGTTGAAAGCTACAAAACTACACTGTGTTCAAATTATTTTGCCAAATTTTAGACATTCATGGTTTAACCTGCCAAACAGTTGGCAGGGCTGGACATCAGTCATGTTTCTAGGATTTAGTTGTACAAACTGTAACTTAATTAGCTCCCAGTCTGAGTAACAATGAAGAGCCCCGAGCTAAATAATACATTAATATTTGAAAGAAACCAGCATGTTTTCACTATCTAATATAGTTAAATATTAAAGGCACTGAGACCAGATTAGACATTCTTGATCATGATCTTCAAAGTTGTCATGTTGTCTCTGAAATGAGATGAAACATTATGTTAAAAATAATATTGGCTGAAGGGAACACAACTTTGTTATGTATAAAACAGGAACCAGGCAAACCTGCTGTGTCCCTGTTCCCCAGCAGATGCTGAATGATCTCCTGCAGCGCTACACCGTACTCCTCAAAGTCCTCTTCTCTCACAGTGACGCCAATTTCAAAGGGCGCACTTATCTGCTCGGGGGAGAGGAAGACCATCGAGTTAGAGGAATGAGTTTGGGTGGTGTGTGGTAGTCATCATGAGTGTGATTTCCGCTCACTGTGATGTGGTTGTCCTCAGTGGGCTGACTGGGCTCCTCCATGGTTTGGCGGCCGACCCTGGAAGACTTGCCTCTGCTCTGTGGTTGAACCGAGAAATGTCATGATTGTAACCAACTCAGCTTTACATTAGAAGTTCAAATGCAGTCAGAGATTTACATACTTCTCAGATCTTGAATAAAGTATAGTAAACAATTAAGTTATATCATTGTATTATCCATACAGCCCTTAATTCATTTCATGTGATGTGTCACATTTCCCTCTTTACTCCTCCAAATTTAAAAATCATTGTAGGACAACATGCCTGCAGACTGACAAAAACACTTGAAGATATAATTACGGGTGCAATTTTCACATATCCCAAAGATAAATAGTTTCAGTCACATTACAACACATTAAACTTAAAAATTCGCCAGAAATGTGCACACACTGAGATGGCAGGAGCTTAAATAAGCCTGTTATCCTCTAAATAATGATGCAAAGAAACATGATTAAGTGTAAATTATCGATGCATAGTCACACTACCAGTTCATTGTTAACTTAATATAACTCCATCTTCCTTATGTTGAACATGATGATGGTTTCATATTCAGAACAGCAGGATTCAAAGGAAACAGATACACACATCATTTAATTCTTATATTTTCACAAAGAATTAAAGTGTTAATAAATATATTAAATATAACCCAAATGTGTTGTGTTAAATGAAACTTTACCTGAGGTTTTTGTGAAGGGCTGAGGAAGCTGGAGCCCGCGCTGGTTGACTTGCACCACAAGGTCAGAGAGCAGAACAGAACCACCAGCAAACAGGTATTTCTTTTCAAAAACATGGTGGAAGGAAGATCTCAGCTGTTCAATCTACTACAGACAGTATGAGGACAAAGTCTACCATGTAAATGTGTTGAGCTGCTGAACATCGATGTGAATTCAGCTTCTGGCTTCATACCTTTATGTACCTTTCATCCTCTTTCATTTTGGTTTAAAAATGCTTTCGATATAATAGTAACAGGTACTTGCTGTCATATCCTGGCAGCATTGGACTGTTCAAATGTTTAAATTGATAACAAAGTTGGCATTTTTCTGTTGCAACCTGTTTTAGCCGGCTGATCACCTATTGTATTCAATGGGGTGATGGAGGTAATAGTATCGCTGTCATAGAGATACAGATAAATGGGACTGATTCAGCCTGTTACGCACGACTACAGCAACATACCAATATTGAGCTATTATGTGTAATGTACGTGGAAAATATGACAGATAGTGTTTAATTAGAGAGAACACTAACAATCTCAACACAGTTAAATATTAAGGTTGATAATAAACAATCACACTGCTTAACAGTAAAGAACTATTTTAATATGCCTTAAGTGAATGTAGTGTAAACAGATATTTGATTATGTGGTAAAACTAACAGGCCGTGCCATTATTTTTCTGTTTTAGCTGTAAAATCAGGCTACAAACCAATATTTAAACTAAATTAAAACGGATTATAAGTATTATTAATGCTAGTAATTATTTTGAGATGAGAATGTGTGCAGGATGTGATTGTTTTTTTGTTTTTATTGGGTTGTAATAGATCTAAATCCATGCAACCTCGATATAAGACACATTCAGCAGCTACTCACACACGATACTTCTACCTCTTTCTCCACATGTAATTTAGATATACGTTTTTCTTTTGAAAGTTACTGTAACATAAGCCATAGTTCAGGAAATAATAGCTCTCAATAAATAATTTATTTATTTAATTTATTTATTTAAATAATTTGTGAAATTGTGATGTTTTCCAACTTTATCCCAACCTTTTAATTTTCCATTCAGTGTTTATTGATCTTACAATCTTTTAGTACAAAACGTTCACGCATCATACATACTGTAGGAGTGTTAGCTCGTCTATCTGGAAGATGGACACCTCACATAGGTATAATACCCGGGTGCCTGACACAATTCAAATACTGCTACTCGGCATATGTAGGAGTACACGTAAGCTGAGCTACCACACACTGAGGAGTGTGATCAAATGGCTTGGAAGCAGATAAGAGGTATCAAAGAGAACATTTTTAATGGTGAATGTTGTGTTCTTTATGAATAAGACACATTATTGACTATTAGAACTTCGCCCGGGAGCATTGACGTCTCATGTAAAGAAGAAGTAAAAGGCTGAGGTCTAGGTCAGAGGAGTTTAACCTGATCTAATATTGACTGTAATCTCATGCTGGGAACTGCACCTCTGCTGGATATATTTATTTCTGTGTACCAGCCGAGAGGACTGAATCTAACATCATGTATTAGAGTTGCAGAGGTAGAGGAGGAAGAGTGAAGAAGAAGATGTCCTGAGGAGGCGGATCCACCAGAACATCAGGGGCAAGGTTACTATAAGAGGTTCCAAAATATTTTAGCACAGTCATTTCATTCGGAGGCCTGGGAGCTTCGATCGGTTTGTTGTCTTCTCCCAGGATGAAGATTATCACAATAAAAAGAAACCGGAAAGACATCATACACAACCTTTTTAGCTTTTAACTACCACATAATCTACCTTTTCTATAACGCTCGGTTAGAGGAGTCAGGTCATAAAGACTTCCAGAGGACTGGATAGGAAAAAATGTACCAGGCAAGAGCAGTTTGGGATAGTTCGAGCGTACTCAATGATTTACTCATATTCCCCACAGACAAGTGCTCTGTGATTATGTGGTGGAAACATTAGAATATTTGTTTACTCGGTGTGTGCATGTGGCAATATTTTGGCCTGATTTCTAGTTAGAGCTTAAAACATATTTATATGGAAAAGAACATGGTTTGTTATTAATAGTCACCAATTCTAGTTTCTCCGGCAATGAACAATGTTAATTTGCTCATTAATGAATAATAGTAAATTAGTTAATAACAATAAACTAAATTGTACAACATTGTTCATAATATAAAATGTTTGAACTAAATACCATCTTATATTAAAACAAAATAACAAACAGATCTGAACATATATCATCAAGCACTTTCACATTTAAAAACTTGAACATTTTATATAAATTTAACCAAACTATTAACTTATGTAAACTCTTGAATATTTTACTGGCTTAAATTAACCTCTTGTGTTATGTGTGTTTGTTTTAATTTGTGTTAAATGTATGTATGTCTTTGTCTATTTTGTTTTGACTGAAAAGTTTGAGAGTTTATATAAAATAAGCCACTAGCTGACTCGTCCAGCAGGTGGCGCCATTAAAACCGGAAGAAGATGAAGAAAAACACCGACGAAGAAGAAGTCGGTCACAGTTAGCTAACGCAGCCCTGTCAGTAGGTAATGGCGCAGAAAAGAGTTAGTAAACATGGATAAAAAGAAGAAACCCTTCGATGTTACTGCTTCATCGGTGAGTTACACTGAGAACAGCCTTACACACATTTTATTGATACACTGCTCGGCTGTGGGGCGTTTAATTAATCGATAATATCAGCTAATGTTAGCTTGCTGTCAGGCTATATTGAAGTGTTTACAGATGCCAAAGAATCATCATTTAAAGCTTATTGTTTTATTTTGGTAAACATGTTGTTTTTTTGCAGCTAGTGGACCTTAAAGCGGAGCTGTACAGAAAGCAGGAACAATTCAAACAGGACAGACTTGGGCAAGAAAACGCCGCTGGATTCTCATCAAGATCCAAAGTGAAGGTACAGTTAGTTTTAGTTTGGGATGTATTTGTGTGTTGTGTATTTTGCTTGTGTAACTACACATTGAGATCACTAAGCAGTGTCTTCATGCTCCTGTGTAGAAACCTAATGTGTGGAGCAAACAAAATGCTGGTGTTTCAGCAAGAGCCGAGAAAGATGCAGAGCAGCTGGCTGAGGAGCAGAACAGCCTCGATACAGCAAAGTGAGTTATTATAAGTAATTATACAGGAGATAGACTTACTGTCATATTGTAATGGTGACCAAAGCCTCTGACTCCTCATTTATCTTTGTATGACAGACGCAAGCTGGAGGAGAAAGCCAAACTTTACGAGCAAATGACAAAAGGAGACTTTCCAGGTTGGTGGAGTATAAATGATATCATCCTTAATTGTAGTCGTCTGGCACAATGTGTTCATTTTGTAATCAACTTGTCTCTTTATACGTCAGATGAAGAGACAGAGGGACTGTTCCTGGTTGACTTCACCCAGAAGATTATTGATAAAAAGAGAGAGACACTTGCACAGAAGGAGAGAGATGACGAGGAAAGAAACAACTCGTCTCCTATCCCTCCTCCTGAAAACCCAAACGAGGAATGGTAACGAGATAAATTCATTTGAAAGGGTTTGGAAATATGTAGTATAGTTAGTTTGTTGTTTTATTAAGTTGTTTAACTAGTACTGCCATTACTAACCTCAAAAATGCTAGTTAAAATGAAAACAGTTGTCGTAACATAATTATAAGTACATAATTATTAGACCGTGCTCATGCTGCATTGTTCCCTGTAGGGTGGATTATGTGGACGCTTTGGGCCGATCTCGAAGGTGCATGAAGAAAGACCTGCCAAATTTTAAGAAAATGGACCAAGACCTTAAAGGAAAAGGGTAAATATTCTACAAATACTAATATCAGACAAGTAGACTATTTTTATGTCTAATACGTGTCTGGAGGGAATCTTTAAATGTGCAGGTGAAGGTTTCTTAAGATTAGACACTGGGTGTGATGTTGGGAACTTCAGCTCTTTTGGATGTGATTATTTCATTTAGAAAAGCCTCAGCTGACTTACTCTCAGAGGACATGCGTCGAGAGCTGCAGAGGCAGGAGTGGGAGAGAGAGGAAGAGGAGGCTATGAAGAGGCCAGTCGGACCAATCCACTACGAGGATATCAGGGGACAAGGTTACTGTTAAAGCATTTCTAAAATGTTACCGAGAACATTTAAATGGTGTATTTGGGCTGTAGAGAGAATTTTCTCTGTCTGTTCATCTCAGAGGCTCGGGAGCTCGGTGTTGGTTACTTTTCGTTCTCTCAGGATGAAGAGCACCGCCGAAAGCAGAGAGACACTCTGGACATGCTCAGAGACCAGGTGAGCTGCTGATCAACTGACTGATATAAACACTGAAATATATCAATATCTTTTGCCCCCTTCCCTTGATCACCTCGCATCACACTACAAGCATACTCTCACATCGATGTCCATTAAACACATCCACCCATAACTGGACTGACAAACATATGTTGTCCATATTCATCTTTGCATTTTCTTCATTTTGCTCAGTACATGCCCACTGTTTTGACAAAGCTGCTACACATTTAATGTCCTATACTTGTTCTATTAAATGAATAAAAGCTATTTTGAGTCTAAACAGATGATTAATTCCCCCTTTTTAGTTTTTGCTTACCCTTTGTTTCTCTTTTACATCTGTCCCGTCCTTCAGACAACAGAGCAACGCACTAAGAGGGAACAACTGAAGGAGAAGAGGCAGGCCATCCTGCAGGCCCGACTGGCCAAAGTGAGGCAGAGGAAGACAAAGAAGGTCAAGCTGGATGGCACTGAGGACGAGCCGGGAGAGGAGAATGAAGGTTAGAATCCACACAAACCGCAGATCAAATGCAGCTGTGAGCTGTTGGCTCTGTTTGATATATTAGAATTACAGCAGTGACCACGTTGAAGTGAATGGAGGATTGTTTTGAATTGTTTGTCCTAGGAGATGAGAGGGAACCTGAATTAATTGGACCCTCACCTCCACCAGAGGAGTTCCCAGAGGTCAGCACAGTGAAGAAGGTGGAAGTGGAGATCCAGGAAAGAAAGGACACCAAACCAGGAGTTCCTCATGTCAGAGAATGGGACAGAGGCAAAGGTAAGCCTCATTATTTAAAGCACCTAAATTCACATCATCTTTGACTACAAGGCTGATTCAGATAACTCTCTGCTATAGGCTGTAGTATTGTTGAGGCATTGTGCATCATTTTTTTGCAGTAAATGTAGGTGTTTCTTCACTCACTTTGGCAATTAGCCATCTAAAAAATTCACAAGTGGCAAGTAAATTTAACGGTTATATAGATGTTCATCTCTCTGCCCTTTTTGTGGTCATTTGTTTGAGGGCTGTAGATATATATAATTAAATGTGTCATTGATAAGACAAGAATTCAAACTGAATTGTGTGTGCAGTAGATAATTGTGCTTCCTTTTTCTTGCAGAGTTTATGTTCAGTGAATGGAAATCTCGATGTCGCGAAGAGCGAGATTCAGAATTTGCGCCTCCCTCTGCGTACTTTACTGAGGGGAAGAGACAGAAACTAGGGAAGAATGTAACTCAGGAGAATAAATCTAAAATGTCCTTCAAGTGGACGAAAGGCCCAGGAGGAATCTCCGAGAGCAAGGAGGAACTACAATCTGAGCCTAAAACTGCTCCCTCACCTCCTCAACCTCCTCAACCTCCTCAACCTCCTCAACCTTCTCAACCTTCTCAACCTCCTCAACAAAACCCACCTACTCCTTCACAACCACAGGTGTCATCACAGTCATCTCCTTCAGATCACCCAGCAGCTCCAGCTCCAGAGTCTGCTCCCCCTTTTAATCCCCAGTATCACCCTCCTCCATTTTATCCTCCGTTTCTTCCTCCTCCTCAGTTTGCTGTACCACCTCACCTGCTTCCTCAGTTTCCCCCTCAGTACCCAAACCAGTACCCAAACCAGTACCCAAACCAGTACCCCCCTCAGTACCCCCCTCAGTATCCGCCTCAGTATCCGCCTCAGCAGCCCCTCCAGCCTGCAGACTTCAGCCAGGCCCAGCAGCCTGCACAGAGTATAGACGACATGCTGTCCTTTTACAGGAACTCTTCCTGATCTCTCTCTCTAAATATTTCTGGGTATATATTTCACAACAGAACTCAATGTCTCAGCTCTTTGGAGTTTTACTATTTAATAGATAATAGCAATTTAGCTAAATTTCTGGATCTGCTTAGGGTGTTCAGGCTCAGGGGAGAGAGGGTAGTACATAGGCCTACTGGACAGCTCACCAGGGACAAGGCAAAGAAGCACATTCACACCCAACAGTGTTTTCCTTTTAAAGTTATAACTAACACTCAGACGTTACTTTATGAAAATCAATGTTTGCAATAATGGAAAAATAAAAATCCCAATTTTGGAAAAATTACAGACTGAAGGCCTCATCTATAATCATTTACTGGATGTTATGTTGATAAGTTGTGACTGGATTCTCCAACAGGAATGGACTGAAGCACATTGTGCAGTTCAAAGCAGGCTGTAGGCGAAGCCACAAGAGGTCACAATTGTACAAGTTGTTTGGGGGGTTTGCCAACGTAATAAAAGGTCCAATGTAACACAATTTAATGTGCAACATAATGACCATTTGAGTTTATTTATCCAGATTATAATAACATTTTTAAGACTTATTACTTAACAGGCTTTTGAACTCTAAGTCTTACTATGGGGACAATCACACACACGTAGACGGGTAACAAAGGAAAAACCTGAATGCGAGTGGAGAAATATGACAAATGCATATGCTTTTATACAGGACATTGAACGGTTAGATGAGAATGAAAATGATGTGAATCAAGAACACCTATAGGAGAATGGAGAGGGGTGCAGAGACTACAAGGTTTGTGTTGGTTTTTCCTCAAGAGTGTAGGAAAGTGAAAGGAAAGGAGAAACTAAGGTTGCTGCAAAAACATGAAAAACGCAAACTAATTGTGTTATTTATTCTTATTTACAGACAGTATTATGTGTATGGGAGGTTTCTACAGTAGCCCAGAACAGATAAACCAAACACTGGCTCTATAAGGGAGCTTTGTGCAGTTTCTCCTACATGCTTGAAGGGCTGAATTCAAAAGCTGTATTAAAATGGTTGCAATCTGCAACTTCACCACTAGATGCCACTGAATCGTAGTCCGCACACTGGTCCTCTAACTATGTGAGGTTATCTCAAAGGGCTGAATGTCACCGGTTTTAATTAATACTAACAAAACAGTAGCCTTTTACTGGCAGAGACCTGTGCCCGAAAGCAGAATCAATTATACCGATACAGGAAATGAAGACTTTTAGTCTTATAGTTAGTGGATTACATTGGTGTACATGTGTTGAAATGTGACACGGACACAGTCAATTGTCTGACTCTGACCTCCGCCCCATCCTGGTCCACAGGAACCGTGTGAGACCTGAAACATGTCAGGAAACAAGGGGAGCTATTCACAAGAGTTGATAGTTGCCAGTGGTTTGATTAATGAGAGCTGGAACTACAACTTGACCACAGATCAAAGACCAGATCACCCCATTACCCTCTTAATTAGATATTTGGCTTGATTTCTGGCTCCCTCCATTTCCTCTCTCAGGCAGGAGAATAGGTAGTTAGGCACTTGGTGTGTTATGTGGATCTCCTGTATGAAGAGGTGGTTCTCTTCCTGGTGTGGTGGACTGTTGGCCCCACTGTGACCTTAAACACTGTGTTTTTTCCCCCATTTGTTCTTGCAGCCTTGAGTGAGACCAGTTCAAGCACAGCAGACAGCCTCAGCACTGTCCCCCTGGTAAATGTGTGTGTATGTACGTACATCCGTGTGTTCATGTACAGTGTTTAAACCCTGTTTCTATAGTAGCTGATAACACTGTGTTCTGCTACATGCTACTAAATCCTACACACTGGTCCTTTAGGTGTGTATGCACGTGAACTATGAAGAATACTATGCTTTTGTCGGAACAGTTGAAGCCAATTAGCTGCCTGAGTAAATTTGCTACCTAGGAGGTAAGATGATGCTGATGTAGTGACAACACTTCTCGGAGTGATACTCATACAGCGATTTAAAATGCTCTGACTGCAATGCTGACAACAATAAAGGAAAGCTCTGTTGACGTTTACAACAGAATAATTCAGCACCAATAAGAGTAAACAGAGGCAGCTTCATTTCGTTTGTTTTTTGCTACGGTAATGTCAGTCTATTGGTTCCCCACTTTGGTTCAGACTGTGCATATATAATATTTATAGGTTTTCATTAGTGTATAATCACCTGAATATAGGAATCGTTGTCTTTCCATTACCTTGGAATTAGTCGCTTTTATCTAGAGAGGAAGCGGATCCTCTTCCATTTCTTTTGTGTCCACACTTTATTCTTTCTCCTACACATCTGGAGGGCTGAGCTGTATTCAAATGTTTGCAATCTGCAACTTCACTAAATGCAACTGAATCTGGTCCTTCAAATATCTCAACAGCTATTGGATGAATTATCAGGAATTTTTGTACGGACATTTGTGGTTTCCAGAGGATGAATCCTATTGACTTTTCATATCAAGTGCCACCATGAGGTTGACATTTCTGTCTACCTACTGGATAGACTGGAATGGGATTTAGGACAGACATTCATTGTTAGACATCTACTTTCCCTTCAACCATACAGTAAACTAACCATGCGAGGCAGCTGGACCACAAAATCACAGGATCCCGCAACAATCCATCAGGCCAGGCTTAAATTTACAGTGATAGTGGACCAATCAGCTTCCTTTGAGGAGAAACTGGCAGCCAGTGGACGCTAGACGACACAGCGAGAAGACAATGTTCACTGTACATTTAAATAGGCTGTCACAAACAGGCCCACTAACACGCTGCCAGCTACAGTTGTGCAAACACAAAAACATTACACGTTAAACATCAGCATGCTGGGATTTTTGTTATGATGTAAGCATGTAGCTCTGTAGCACGTACAGCACAAATAACTGAAAGAATAAAATAGAAATATGTGCATCTCCTCAGCTTAATTTGGCTTGCTGACTCACCTCTTGAATGCGTCTAATCACTTATAAGGGACAGGAAGGTGTGTCTCATTGACAGATCTGCCCTCCTCTCAGGGACCAGCTGCACTGAGAAATGATCTCTGCATTTAGCTGTGGCAATTTAATCCTGCTGTGGCTGAGGAAAATGGCAACATGCTGTTTTCATAATAGGAAATAAATTACCTTCAGCACATGGAAACGGCTTCAGATCTAATGTAGTAAAGTAGTTTAGTTTTATTGATATTCTTTGTAAAGTATTATCTGTTTAACCAGCAGCCACTTGTTCAGACACACTGTCACACACACACACACACACACACACACACACACACAGTGCAGGTGTCAGTTTACTGTTGGTATTCCTTATAGTGCAGCTATAAAACTACTGTAGCACTGGAGCTAATGGAGCCTTTACGAGGAAGGATACGAGGTGAAGATATCTGACACTTGTTCCTCAATAATCTTGTCTTATGTCCTCTAGACCTGAGCCGGCCATCAATGTTGTCTTTATGGCACTATAGGTCCTTAATCCAGAGAGGGAAGGAAGGTCAGGTCTGGCCCTGTGTAATGCAGTTTTACTGGGATAAAAGGCAACCAAGGCATAGCCGGGACAACAAGCTGCCCTGTTTACCCCCCTTAAATGTCATACATACATCCCTTTAAAGGCTTGACAGGATAAGATATAGTCATATTCAGAGTTGTGCAGAGGTTTCATGAGTTTGTGTGGTATTAGTCTGGATCTCCCCTGGATTGTGTCTGTATTGATCATCATCTGTAACGGCTCTCAAAATCTAAAAAAGGTAAACGGCCAGGCACAGGGCAGAAGCAAGATGCCGAGTCTAACAGATATTAATGTTTGAAAGACAGTTGCTAAGACATTTTTTCGGACAACTTTCACCAGGTAGTTAAAACTAAAAAAATTGATCACAAAAACACCAACAATGCTGTCTATAACACCTAAAGTAAAATACGTACAGACCTCTAAACCAGACTTTGTACAGTATAGAAACTATTCAAGAATTTTATAATTTCTTTCAGATACCAATGAGACGTAAAACAAGTCTTAGCCTTAAAATGTCTTTAATCATTCTAATTAATCAAGTTACTCAAATAAAATAAATTAACTTTAAATTAATTTTGTAAATAGAAGAATAAAATGTTTTTGGGATTTGTGAACTATGTACAGTTGCTGAGTTGCTGAGAACTATGTACAGTTGCTGAGTCTTTGTAATACATTTTGGTTTATTCGCTTTCTAGTGAAAAGTTAGAAGATTAGAAGATCGATGCACTCTTATATCTGTAGTCAGTTAGCTTAGCTTAGCATAAAGACTGGAAACAGCTAGGCTCTGTCCAAAGGCAAAACAAATGCACCCAGCAGCACCATAAAGCTCACTAATTAACACACTATATCTTGTTTGTTTAATCTGTTCGGACGAACAACAATTTGCCATTTTACCTGACTATCTCTGGGAGCACTAACCTCCTGAAGTCTCTTCACTTTACTTACTGCTGTAAAATCACACAGGTCTTCCCCATCTGCACACAGCTTACTGCTGGCATAACTCCAGTGAGAACCAGACACAGTACAAGCTCAGAGAAGACATTCGTCTATAAGAGGTTTTTAATTCTCGGGGCAGTTTTATGATGCAGAGTTTCAATGACCCAACTGGGTACTGAACTCACAAACTGGGGGAATCAAACTCATAAATTGTCAATCGCAGTGCAAATGCTGCAACTCCGAGTTTACTGAGCTGGATAAATCTTTGATATTGGAAGGGTTCCTCAACAAAAAAGCAGTGCAATTTTACACTGAAACAAAGACACAAAAATAGCCGGATTTTGAGCTTTTAAGATCAGTTAAAGATTCTTCTTTAAACTACCGACATTAACATAAAAACAAGTGAAGGGAATAAAGGGAATACTGCTGGCTCCATTAGGGATAATAGGCCATTAAGACTCTATCAGTAAAATCAGGCATATTGAGCCAACAAACAAATTTAGAAAACTACTACAAGATAATGAGAGGTTTATAAAAAAAATTAACAAATAATACATTCTGCAGCTTTCAGGTCAGGTTTTCTTACACACTCTAAATTGTCCAAACTCATTCATGAGCCATGATCAAAAATGTGCAAAAGTGTTATTTTTGTATGTTTTTAAGAACTCCAGCAGGCATTTTTTTCAAAACCAGGACAGGATGCTTACACATGCACAGCACGTAATGGGGATACAGCAAAGAACACAAGTGGTCTACTAGTGCACATGTAAACTTATGGTTTTATTTTTTATTTTTTGGTTGGATTTTTAACCTGCAGATTTTGGCTTATACATGAAAAAAATGCAGAATCCAGGTAAAATAAAATACTAATT